AGTGATTTTGTACAATGGCTGGCAGATTTTGCCATAACTAGGTACAAATTTTCTTTAGTAGTCTATTAAACCCAAAAATCCCCTAAATTCCTTCACATTCTTAGGAGCATGCCACTCCAATATTGCTTGGATTTTTTGCAAAATTTGTAAAGGCTCCCTCACTGGATACTATGTGGCCTAGGTATTCCACTTGGTGTTGCCCAAAGGAACACTTTTGTTTCTTGACAAACAGTTGATATTGTTGTAATAATTCCAAAATTTTTTTGCAAATGCACTAGGTGTTTCTCGCAAGACTGACTATAGATCAAAATGTCATCAAAGAACACAAGGATAAACTTTCTTAAGTGAGGCTTAAAGATGTCATTCATAAGGCTTTGAAATGTTGCAAGGGCATTAGTGAGGCCAAATGGCATAACCATGAACTCATAATGTCCCTCATAAGTTCTAAAAGCTGTTTTTTCAATGTTATCCTTATGCATTCGAATTTGGTGGTAGTCGGACTTGAGATCAAGCTTAGAAAAATATTTAGCTCTATATAATTCATCCAAAAGATCATCAATCAGTGGAATATGATACTTTTCCTTGATTGTGAAGCTGTTTAATTCTCTATCATCCCTGCATAACCTCCATGTCTATTCCTTTTTCTTCACCAACAACACTGGGAATGAGAATGGACTATGACTTGGCCCGATGAACCTTAAACTGAGAAGTTCCTGTATTGCTTTCTCAATTTCATCTTTCTGTGCAGGGCCATAATGGTAAGGCCCAATGCTTGGAGGCTTAGTACCTTGGAGAAGTGGGATTTTGTGATCATGTGCCCTATGTGGAGGCAATTGTGAAGGAATCTGAAACACTGCCTCAAATCTCATTAAGACTGCCTGCAACTCTTCCATCTGTTGGGCACTTAGTGTGTTAGTATCCTTTGGTTTAGACTCTAATGAATACAATAAGACCCCCAAGTTGGAATGATAGAATTCCCTATTGAGCTGCTATAATTACATTTCTTGGACAGCAAGCTGTGATGGTATACTACGTGACAGTTTAAACTTGTCTTTGCCCACTTGAAACTCCATTGTAACCAATTGAAAATCCCAATGTACCGGACTCATAGTAGACAACTATTGCACTCCCAACATCAAGTCACAACCTCTCAAAGGCAATGCAAACAAATCAGTATGATAATGGTATCCTTCTAATTCCAAAGGAATGTGTCTACAACAACCCTGACTTTTGATTTTTTCCTTCATCTGCAATCATTACTTCAAATGTTTTGGTTGTTTGTAAAGACCATCCGAACTTCTTAGTGAACCTATAATCAATGAAGTTATGGGTACTACCTGAGTCTAAGAGGATTCGCACAGGTTGGTTATTAACATTGCCTAAAACGTTCATAGTTTGTAGGGAGTGTTCAGCATTCATGCCATAAAATGCACATTCGCTCAGTGTCATTCCTTGCAACTTAGCTTGCACAACCTCATCATTCTCCTCACACAAGTCCTCATCATCACACACATCTTACAAAAGCAACTGTTTATGCATGCATTTATGCCCTCAGACCCATTTCTCAGTGCAAAACCAACATTCCCCTATATCTTTCTTTCTTTGGACTTCATTAGGAGTGAGCTTACGATATGGTAAATTAGTGGTTCGAGGTCTAGGAGGCAGAATGGGCAGTGGAGTGATTTTAGCTGCAGGAAGGGTTATAAGATTAAGGACACGCAACTCATAAAGTTTAGCATCAACCTGAACATATATATACAGAGAGCTTAAGGGGAGGGATCCCCATTTTTTGAAAAAAATGGGGATTAGGTGTGGGGCCCACTTCACATCTAATTTCAACGATCCGAACCGTCTATTTTGTTAGTCTCAATTTATAGATCATCCTTGCAAAATATTAGCTAAATTGGAAATGTTTAAGACATCTAATTGGGTTCAAGGAAATGAACGAATATTTTGTTATATAAGAAAATATGAAATTTGATATTGATAATTAAATAGGCAAATGGTTTCGGATTGAATTGAATTTTTGCAAGGATGATCTATGAATCGAGACTAACAAAATAGACGGTTCGGATCGTTGAAATTTGATGTGAAGTAGGCCCCACACCTAATCCCTTTTTTTTTCAAAAAATGGGGATCCTTCCCCTTAAGCTCTCTGTATATATATGGCATCATGAACAAACACATGCTTCAACAATTTGACATCATAAATCAATTCCCGTTTAAACCTCCAAGGAAGTAGCTTTTGAGGAGCACAAGACCAACATCTAAAGCATGATTAACAAGCCTACGAAATTCGGTCACATAATCCTTAAGAGTACATGTTTGGTGCAATTTGAAGAGTGCCTCAATACAATCCTCGAAGTCGGATGACCAAAACTCCTTACTAAGTGCACTGGTAAATTTCTCCCAAGAATGAGTAGTAAGGATGTAATTACGCCATTTGAACCACAACATCACTTCGTTCTCCAAGTAGGATGCTGTAAGGACCTTATGAGGATTTTGAGTGTTGTAATAGGAAAAGTATTGTTCAGCCTTATAGATCCAAATGAGAGGATTGTCGCCATTGAAAAATTGGGGAAAATCCACTCGTTGTTTCCAAGGAAGCCTCAGAGCTCCACCTCCGGTGTCAAACTGATCATGACGAAGTGGGCGAAGAGTCTCTAAATCAGAATCGGAGATGATCTGTGCTGGATTGGAAGATTCGGCACCCCCCAAAAAGGATTGTTCGCACCAAAGTTGCTCAAAGAAGAAAGTTAACTTAGCCTCAAAATCAGCAGAGAGTTTAGCCGAGAGCTTAGCATTCGCGGTAGCGATGAAGGATCGAAGGAAATTGGGAAGGTCTGTCAGAGTTTCTTCAACAGTAGTGAGACGGGGATCTATAGTGGTTAATCAAGTCATCGGAGCATGACGGGGCATACAAGAGGGAATCGAGGATCGAGAATGATGATACCAATTGATATGCACCAAATCTCATATTTCCTAACTCAACCTGCAAGCAGCAATGCCAATGGCAGAATAGCAAGGAATGAGGAGCTAGAGAGAGATGTTTTTGTAATATTTTTCTTTTTTGAATATAACCGTTACTCATTTTCTTTCACAATTGGCTACATATATTGTTCTCCAAACACTTAAAGCCAGCTGGCATAACTAATCACTTAACAACTTAATTAAAATACTTATTTAATTGCTAAACTATGATTAAGATAATCACAATTATAACACACAGGCGAAACCGAAGATGGCAGAGCAACACCATCAGCAGCGGTTCTGGCTCTGACGTCAAGAGGAGCAGCGACAAAGAATGGAAGAGCGAGAATAGGAGGATACGGCGTCGTTTGTGGGTCCGGGTGTTCGATCTGGACCTCCGATCGATGACTCAAAACGTGATTTGTTCAAATCCAACGGCATTGACGCCTCAAACCCCGAATGCCTTAAACAACTCCAAATTGGGTCTTATTCTATTGTCTAAATCAGCCAAAAGCAACTCAGACGTTTGGTATAGCTTTTTGATGTGGCTCCAAGTCAGCCCGTGAGCTCTGAACAGACTCAGTACCGAGTCAAGGTTGTGGGTGGCTGTGGGTTTGAACTGGAGCTTCATGGAAGCAGAAATGGTGGAATCTGGAGACAAACCACATGATTTTTTGAGGTGGGTGTCGGAAGTGGAGGTTGGGAAATGAAGTAGGCGTAGGAAAGCGAGGGTGAAGATGACGCATTTGAAGGTGGGTTTTGGGGGATTTTACAGAAGGAAGTGGGTTTTGGGAAATTGAATAGGAGTAGGAGGGTGCGGGGGAAGAGGAAGGGAGTGGACAAATTTTTTTTATATTTTATTTTAATTTTATTTTAATTTTTTAATTTTTTTTTTAATTTTTGAATATCCACGTGGACTTATATTGACATCTAGCATCCTGTCGCTGCTCATGTGGGTGTTACGTCATCAGTTAATAGAGATTTTGACAGAAAACTTAACAAATGTATGAAAGTGTCCCAAAATTACGACTTTAGGTACCAAACTGAGATGAAAAAAACTTGATGTATGAAAAGTTGAAAATCAAGAAACTTCAGAGTAATAAATTGAGATTAACCCTTTTTGTTTATGTTAACATGTGGATGATTCCTTTGTTTTTTCACAGACAACCATAAAAAAAAATAAAAAATAAAAACTTTAACGAAAAGCTTATGTTACTGTTCACATTAACGAAAAATCATATTTTTACACTAAAAAGTTAATCCTACTACTATTTACTTTACCTTTTATTTTTTTCTTATCATTAAAACTCAAAATTTTCAAATCTTTTTCATTAGTTTTTCTCAAAAAAGAAAAAAAGAAACTACTTAAACCTTTTAATTTTCTTTTGTTTTTTCTTTGGGGTGGTTGCTATTGCTTTTTCTCGCCATAATTCTCTATCCGATAAGCGTCACACTCAAGCACGATGGAAGCCAGACTAATGAATTTTTATTCCTGGGCTATCCTACTCAATGTTTAAACATGAGATTTTTTTTTTTAAGATATGTGTATATATTTGCACTTAATAATACGGCTTAATGATATTCATTCTCATTTAAATGAGAGCACGAGATCTAATTATTATGACATACTCATTATGTAGTTTAACTTAAATTATGCATTTCTTAGTAAATATATCGTTGTATTTTAAGCCTCTATTGACGACTTCCCCAAATTTCATTGATGGAAAACATGAACATTCTATAAGTAGAGAGAATTATTGCAAACTGTCCAGACTAAATATGTGATCTAGTTTTAAAAAAGTAATGAGAATTATTGCAGGGTGATGGAGTAGCTAGAGGGTAAGCCAAAGGCCACTTGCTATAGTGAGCATTGATGAATGATGAGTGGTAGGCTGCTTTGGCTTTGCATTATTTTTCAAATTCATCAGAATTTTTGCTAAAACTTCATTTCTTTACTTTTAAAAAATGAAGTGGCATGCTGTCAACTTGCCATTTAATCACATGTCGATATATCATCTCAACAAGTAGCACTTAAAAATCCCCAATTGGACACCACATCCTCTCTATCCTTCCACCTTCGTAGTTCGTACTACTACTCCCTCCACCCTCCTCCGCCGGCTGCATGGCCCGCACGTGCTTTTCACTCCCCCTTACATTAAAAAACGAAGCCCTTTATAAATGAAAGGGTTCTCCTTTCATTTCATTTCATCTCAATACAACTCTCCACTCCGCACTCCACCAACACAACCACCGCAAATCCAAATGGCTCTCATCCGTGAACGCCGCCAGCTCAACCTTCGCCTCCCCCTGCCCGACCTCTCCGAGCGCCGCCCCTGTTTCTCTCTCCCCCTCCCTCCCACCGCCCCCACCACCGCCGTCACCACCAACACCTCCTCCTGTGCCGCTATCTCCGCTGCTGACCTCGAGAGACTCGAAGTCCTCGGCCATGGAAACGGCGGCACCGTCTACAAGGTCCGCCACAAGCGGACTTCAGCCAACTACGCTTACAAACTCGTCCAAGGTGACTCCGACCTCACTGTCCGCCGTCAGCTCTTCCGCGAGATGGAAATCCTCCGCCGCACAGACTCTCCCTACGTCGTCCACTGCCACGCAATCTTCGAACAGCCCTCCGGTGACATCGGGATTCTCATGGAGTACATGGACTCCGGCACCCTCGAGACCTTGCTTAAATCCAATGGCACCTTCTCCGAGCTAAAACTTGCCTACGTGGCGCGGCAAGTTCTTAACGGCCTCAACTACCTCCACACCCACAAAATCATCCACCGCGACATCAAACCAACAAATCTTCTAGTAAACTGTCTCATGGAAGTAAAAATCGCCGACTTCGGAGTGAGCAAGATCATGTGCCGAACTTTGGACGCCTGCAACTCCTACGTCGGAACTTGCGCTTACATGAGCCCGGAGAGATTCGACCCGGATACTTACGGCGGCAATTACAACGGCTACGCCAGTGACATATGGAGTTTGGGGCTGACCCTGATGGAGCTCTACATGGGTCACTTCCCGTTCTTGCCTCCAGGTCAGAGACCAGACTGGGCCACCCTCATGTGCGCCATATGTTTTGGAGAGCCACCCACCTTGCCGGAGGGGGTGTCCGAGGAGTTTCGGAGCTTCATGGAGTGTTGCTTGCAGAAGGAGTCTGGCAAGAGGTGGTCCGCCGCTCAGCTTCTGACCCATCCGTTCGTCTGTAAAGATACCGTGAGGATATGAAGAATCCGTCGTGGGGAAGTTTAGAAATCTTGCAAGGGCTTACAAGGACGAGCTGGGTAATTAACTTGGGTTATTCTCTGCTAATTGATCAAGGCCACTTGCTCCTCTATACTAATATGTTGTCGGTGGATTTAAGGTGGAACTTCAACTTTTTTTAAGATTCAGAATTCGTTTCCTGCTCGTCAAACCTAATTATTTGTCGGTCGCCGGGTTTGGCATGAATTTTCCGGACACTGGTTACTGTAGGAATTTTATGATCTTTTGTATATACTGGCCGGATTCGGATTCTTTCTTTGTGGATTATGGTGTTAATTAATCTTATCTGTTAATTAAATTATGATTAAGAGAATCATATGAATATTAAATTTCCCTTTGATTCTATTTGTATTCCGGCTATTGAACATCACGAAATTAATTATTAAAATTTCTAACTGACTAAATGTCGGAGTTCAACCTACACTTGAAGTTGACGAGGGAACGGACCAATAAGTGTAAAAGGAGACATTGAAGATTATATTAATTTCTCTCAACTATGAATAGTTTGATATATTAGTCAATTAAGTAGAGGCTGTACGTAATTGATCAACCCTACTTCCTAGCTGGTGTTCAAAGACTAGTCAAGTTGCAGGAAGAAAAAAATCAATAATCGTATGCTTTCTATGACGAAACTAGGAGCTGGGATTTTTTATTTTTTTTGGGGTCTAATTAACCAAGATCAGGTCTTCTCCTAAAACAAAGATCATGATCAGATAGTAGGCTAAACCGTGCACGAAGTAAAGAAATCATGCTAACACTACAACTCTCAATCCAACAACTAAGAATAGAAGAAAAATGCATTGGCTCCACTTATTCACAAATTCCTTGTTAAGAGTATCAATCCCACGTCGGCAAAAGAATAAACCTTGTATATGCCTATAAGTAGTTGGTTTATTCTTCATATTGCCAATTGGTTTTATTGTGAAACTTCAACTTGCTTCACACGGGGAGGTCTTTTTGAGAGTATCAATCCCTAATCGATGAAATAATAGACATTGCATATGCTTATAAGTAATTGAACTACTATTCTTATTTCATGTCCAACGTGCATAATTAATATATTGTTGTTTAAATTAAAAGACGTACAATCATCATAGATTTGTTGTTATCCAATCTTCAAGAATATCTTATAAAGTTGGTTTCTTGCTAGCCTCCACTGGCAAGTGACAAATTTCCAAGTTGTTGCAATAAATAAAAAATGGAATGTCCCTTTCATGAGCCAAGCAGATACATATGTCATCGTATGTAAAGAGTCGAAGCCATTTCCTGCGTTTTTGTTGAAACAATCCTGGCCGTTTAAAGATTTTTGGGTGGAATTACACTGCATATAAAGGAAAATCTTGTTAAGAGTTTTTTTATAAGGGCAACTTTCTCATATCTAGTGAGACAAACCTTACACATAAGTGATGACGCAATCTTGATGACCTACACAAGTTTTTTTCTCAATAACATTGGAGAGATTAAATTTGCACATAAAATTTTGAAAACTAAAGGACATAGAAGTTAATGATTGATTTATTACTTAAGCGATGATAAACATGTTCATTCTTATTATTGACACATTATTTATTTTGTAAATTTTATTTACAAATTTAATCTACCTGATATTAACCTTTTCTCTCGAGCCAGATGATTGGCTGCCAAATCCGGTGATGAATACAAATTTGGTGCAAGCGAAGGCTGTCATGGCACGAAAGTTGGGTGCTTCTTGACAGCTTCGATCGATCCTGAAAAATACAAGACATGATGAGTCAGCAAATAACTCCTCAATCCGTAGGAGAATTGAGAAAAAGGAAAATATGCATGTCAAAATCAAAGCTTTGCCCAATATCATGCATGAACCACAACGCTCCATGTCACACGATTCACTGCCCAACTTGATCATCCTTGAGGGGTCGTCAATCTCAATCATGGAGTCCTTCAAATGTCACCGTCCAAATAGTTAACTAGGTTTGATAAATTATTAAGTACGTTTTATTTTCAAATTTTAAAATCGGAAATCTAACATAAATCTAAAACTGAAGAAATCAGAGAGCTTAGAAATAGGGAAATGAAAGAAAACTGGATCAACTAGCCGCAATGTTAATTAATTTGATTCTGAGACATAGGTATTTGATTATGGATTTGAAGGAAAAGTACTCGCATTGTTTGGTTTTCGTACGTGTTAGTAAATACAATAGAAAGTTAATTAAAAGTGAAATGATTTTCATACCATATTCTTATAAACATAGGAAACTCAAAAGTTAAAGTAATTTTGATTTTTATATCTCTGTGTATGTAAACATGCTCTAAATGAGATGTTATGCAACAACAAATTAAACTATATATTACAATTAATTAAACACTTAAATTGCTAATGGAGAATGATTAATTTGTGCACTCTTCTCATTTTCACTCAGACATAGCTTAAAGAGAAAATGCAAGAAAAAAAAAAGAAAATTAAACAATAATTTCATTCATGCTTTCTACAGCAGGGCGTAGCACATAGGTATAGAAAAGTCTACATTTGTATTCGATAACCTAATGAGTATGGACCAAATGGAAACCTAGCCCATAAAACTATGCTAACAGTCCATAGGAATTGGAATGCGCTCGTCTAGAGTACAGAGTCATGGAGAATTAGAGGATAGAATTAAGTAAAGAAGTGCATACAAAATCGCAAGAGAATGCGAAAATAACACCCTGTCATCTTTAGGTCATGCTTAGAAGTTAGAAGCATCACAATTTTCACGCAACAAACTAATCTAATGTCAAGTAATAGTTCGAAGAAATTTTATCCTGGAGAAGAAAGGTGAGCGTCGAGTTCCTACATTCGGCCAATGCAATACGGCATCACTCAAAGATCATATGACAAACTTCTGTTAATATAGTCTGATTGTTGTTGGCAAACTGTTAGCTAACCCGTCAAAACATAGATAATATAATTGCATGTATCAGGAAGAAATCGGGGATTTTAAAGGAGTTTAGCGAAATCAGAATGTACATGCTAAAATGAAGATAAATGACAGAAAAATAGGTCAGAAAATTGAACCAGCCAGCAACCTCAAGTTTGGTTAATTGAAATTTGATGATAATAAGAGCAGTTCCACTATGGGAAAGGCCCCCCCAGGGCTATCCACTATTTAATCCACCTAGTGAACAGTAATTGTCCTTAATGAACAGTAATTACATTTTGCATCTCCACCCCTATACTTGAATAGCCCTGGTAATAGGTAAATAAAATAATAGTATTTTTTGCAACTTGCTTGGAATTCTCGTGCTCTCTCCACTCCCTCACGAGTCACGACACTCACTCTCTTTCCACTCATCTTTCTCACTTCTCTCCATTTTTCTGAAGTTCCTCTTTCTCTCTAAGCTCTCGACACTCTCACTCTTTCTAGAGCTCCGAGAGCTCTCACCCACTTTCCTCTTTGAAAATTAAACAAATCAAACTCCAAAACCATGAAACCTTAATCCCTAGGACTAAAGGATCCTAGCTATACCGTTGCACGTGTCATCGGACCATCACGGTGTAAACCACCATTGAAGCCGAGAGCTTCAAGATCTGAAACTCAAACCTAGGTGAGGTTCTCTATGCAAATCTTGTTTCATTATGTCTTAATGTTGCTTGGGACAAGATTTGTGGTGTTTTTCCAGTTCAAAATCAGAGGTTTAATCCCCTGCAATTTCTCTAAAACCTTGCCCAGTTTTTGGTCACCTCATCGGAGCAAACTCTGGCAAGTTTGTGGGTTCTGGAGCTCTTGTTCAGTTTGAATCCATTCCAGGTACTTAAATGCCTCTTTGCATGTGAAAATTAGTTGGAAATTACTAAGGTTTGACATGCATGCATATTGTTTTTCCCCATTTCCAGAATCCGGCGAAGAAACCCAGCCATTGCAGGCCATTTTCCGACAATAAAAAAGTGGATGACGTCTAGGTGACGTCAACCTTGCATCACATTACCTTCGGGCTCATGGGCTGGCAACTCGTGTCGGGCCTCTCCCAAGGGCCTGCTCAGGCTCCCTCACCAGCACAAGCTGGGGTTGCTTACTCGAGCTCTCTGCCACTATTCGCAAGCCTGTCCCTTGGGCTCCAGCACACGCTAGAGCTACTATAATAATATGATACGTCAGTATCTCCAACAAAAGTGACACAGAAAAAGAGCTACCAGAGTATACCTGCTATGTGTAGCTTATGTGTAAGATTGGTATTTGGATCTTCGGAAAAGGATCCTCCCCGGATCTTCTTTGTGAGGATCCGGAAGATCAATTAATTATGTTCGTTCATCGTACATCGTGCGATTAGAAATCATTTTAAATTTAAAATTTAAAATTGAATATAAATAGTATCTAACGAAAATTGACCGCACGATGTACGATGAACAAATATGATTAATCAATTCCCTGAATCCCTACAAAGAGAATCCGAAGATGATCATTTTCCCACAATTAGGTGGCCACGCCAGCCAATGGCGGCTTGGGATTTGAGTACACCGATTTGGTCAGTTGGAAGGAGTGGTTTGGGATCCCAAAACCAAACCGTGCCTTAAGTAATAACTTTTATGTCTTCGAACAAGTTTTGATTTCAATTCTTATCGAAATATAGACTTTTGTCTCATCCAATTTCACCTTAATTTTTGCATAGTAAAAACATCATTTTACTTTTAATAAAGTGTTTATGGATGAAAAGTCATAAGAACCCGTTCTATTAAAAATATCAAGGTTTGTAATGCACACATTTGACAGTGATATGGAAAACATGCATCACATTGCCGTCAAGTGCATAGTGTGTTAAAATTTTAAGGTAATGGATTGACATAAAATACATTCTTTACACAAACACAAAGATACGACAAGACATGAAAAAATACCAATTTAAAAGAAAAGAAGACATACGGCATGTCGACCTCCCACCAAATTGTGTCATCTTCTTCGTGTGGCCTCTTTTCACCAGATCGCATCATCTACCTGCGAGGCCTTCTTCCACTAGATCACGTTATCTTCTTCGCAAGGCCTTTTTGTTGCGAGTTATATACTAGTTAAAGTGTAAATGGTAGTTTATTGTCCCACATTGGTGAAGTACATATGTAATACCAATTGTAACTCCTATATATACTCTAGTTTGGAGATTAATGAATATATAAGAAATTCTCAAGTATTGTCATATATATTTTGGTATTTACCATGTTTAGTTAATATTGGTATTTACCATGTTTAGTTTAATATGGCATCAAAGTAGTTCACTCTTGGTGACCTGTGTGCTTTAATTTTGTGCCATATTTTTCGTGATTTCCTTCGTGAAAAAAAAAAAGTGGATAGTGTTGTGCTATAGTACAACACTTTGCTACAGTGCATGAACAATGGTCT